ATTTTTTTTGGTGCTTATTTTATAAGCACAAATTTTCCTATTTTGCTGATGTAACAGATTTGTATTATAAAAATCGTTTAGGAACATTTGTGTAGGCAGGTATATTGATGACAATGAAAGAAAACAGGGGGAAAGCAAAGAATTAATTAGTTAAGGGAAAATAAAATCAGAGTAACGAATGCCAGAATGCAGGCAAGGGAACAGAAAGAAAGGGAGGTATATGAACTGAAATTATATTGGAGACTAAAGATCACAAACTTCCACAGGTGAACCTTTTTCTCAATAACTACCCCCTCAATTAGAAACTGTTACCAAGATAAAAAAAATACAAATTGCTTGTTGGTTTCTTATTAAGCTTTGATAAAATCAATTGTACCCAGAGTATAAGAACAGGAGAATGAATCACCACCAGAAACGTCATTAATTATTTCACGAATGGAGGATGGTCACTTTCAAAGAACAATGGAGAGCAAAACAAGTCTCTACCTTTAGCAATAGTGACCACTTTTGCTTGAAGAAGTTTCCGGTTCAATAGTAACAACATGTAAAATGTAAGGATTTACTGGTCAAATGTGATAGCTGCCAGACCAGTAGCCTCCTTTCTTGCCATACACATATGGATAAACAATATGTTTTAATAAGGTCTCTTTACTTAAAACATCATTTATAAGCAGTCTTGTGAAAGCACAGACCATACATCATACTATATACTAATCTATAATCATTTTGCACTTAAAACAAATCCAAATGCATAATCAGCAGACAGCTCAATTCCCATTCCGGTTATTCAAACTTCAAAACTTTTTCTGAAGTATTTGCCTACAGTTACCACAGGGTGGTAGCCATGCTAACAGTTTCTCCTATATTATAGCAGAGTTAATATTTTAAATTACCTCTGTGGAGCTCTTCTGATTGATAGGGAGGTGCCATTTATTTAGCTGAAAAGACAGAAGTGCCAACTTTCCCTGACATCACAAAACTGAGGCCAGAGGGATCCTTGTACAGCTTCTGGCAAGAGAAAGACTGAGAGAATGATTCAAGTAATAACCCGGTAAAGCCCTGTCCTTGGAAGATATTGGTGTGTTCCACCCTTGTTTTCTCAGTTTAGCAATTATTCCATTGGTGTCTCCTCTTCTAAAAGCACAGCATTCAGAGCTTTGCTCTGCAAAGAATGAAAAGAACCTTCGTATTTTAAAAGCTGTCTAGAAAAATAGGTAAGGTAAGAAAGCAACGTACATTAGCAGCAAGTGTATCTGTGGTTTTTTTGCTCTGTAGCACTATATTAGTACTGAGGTGAAGCGCTAACTCCAGATCCAGAACGGCACACCCATCAAAACAAGTTCCCTGTGTAACATCACTGCTGGGGCAGACACCAGCGGGGCTACTGTTGGAACAGAAACAAACCAACAACAGTTAGAGGAAACTCATTTAGAACACAGTACACCTCCCTTTCAGCAAATACATTCTTTAACTTAGTTTTGATGTCGTGACTTGTGGCAGCACACGTTAACTGTGATACAGGTTTTCATAAAAAGCATACTAAAAGAATAAAATTATTTTAAAATAGTGAAAGGATGAGGAAAAAAAAAACACATTTCAGTTCTTGGTCTTGACTGCCGTTCTCAGAACGCAAATTTCTCCCAGTAACTCAGCTATTAAAACAACTACACTTCAACTCTCGGTATGGTCAGTATTACTATCTTTAGCTATTTTACCTCTATGTAATATAATGACTTTGACTCAAATAATCTTAGCATTAACAATCTTGATGATCATTGAACTGATGTCAAAAGCACTGCAGACCAATGCGTAGATCACTGTAGGCTTTCATTTGCACAAGTAATCCAGTAATTCCTTTAGATTTATATTCCATTCAAAGAAAGATTTCCAGTTATATCAAATGCATGCTGAAAGCTGAGAACATAAATAAACCCTAATACTTAAAAGCATTGCTTATTGTATTAGCTAAGCTAGACAACAGGAAGAGTACTTGCTGCCTTCTGTATTTTTCTCATATGAAGGTGAAATATTTGTAGATCAAATAAAAAATAAGAATGGCTCCCGCACTTCAGAACACAAGCATGAGCAGTGATCATGAATATAACTCGTAATAATTCCACCATTAGGATATCCTCCTGCACTTACTAGTGCTTGCATGTTGACTAAAAGGGCCTTTCAAGTTACAATGCCTTTTGAAGACAGATAGGAACAGAGAAAACAATTGTCAAGTCAGATTCGGAAAGAGCAAAACAGACTCTTAAAAAAAATTATTCCCTGTAACGTATGAGTAAGCATTTTGATAGAATGAAAACTGCACTGAAAATAAATATAAAAGGACTTGTTCTTCTGCAAAGTACTTCAATAAAATATGCAACAGACTGCACCAAATGGCATTCCAAAGACAACAGATGTTTCTCTGAAGTATACTTATAAGCCATAATTAAATATATCCTTTCCAAGCTGCATTCAGAAAGAAAAATTATAAAGTCTCTCAGGAAGCAGAGTTACCCATCCAGCTCTTTATAGTCTGAGCATCTTGGAAGTCTTTTATAGACTACATTCCACCATTATTAGACACTTTATGCTCTGATGACAATTCTCCAAGTATGCTGTGAATCTAAAACCAACTGATCTCTGTAAGTGCCACAAGGATGTCTGAGTATCACCTCACATCTCAAGTTATTTCCAAAAACTTTTTCCTAGTTATCATTATATTTCAGATTAACTTCATTTTTCAATCTTTTCTTAAGGCGCTCTTTC